ACACACACACACACACACACACACACACACACACACACACACACACACACACAGCCCGCACCCGCCCGCACCCGCCCGCACCCGCCCGCACCCGCCCGCACCCGCCCCCGCCCGCGCGCCTGCCCTTCTCTCGATGTGCGCCCCCCCACGCGCGCCCGCCCTTCTCTCGATGTGCGCCCCCCTCACGCGCGCCCGCCCTTCTCTCGATGTGCGCCCCCCTCACGCGCGCCCGCCCTTCTCTCGATGTGCGCCCCCTACGCGCGCCTGCCCTTCTCTCGATGTGCGCCCCCCTCACGCGCGCCTGCCCTTCTCTCGATGTGCGCCCCCCTCACGCGCGCCTGCCCTTCTCTCGATGTGCGCCCCCCTCACGCGCGCCCGTCCTTCTCTCTATGTGCGCCCCCCCACGCGCGCCTGCCCTTCTCTCGATGTGCGCCCCCCTCACGCGCGCCCGTCCTTCTCTCTATGTGCGCCCCCCCACGCGCGCCCGTCCTTCTCTCTATGTGCGCCCCCCCACGCGCGCCTGCCCTTCTCTCGATGTGCGCCCCCCTCACGCGCGCCCGCCCTTCTCTCGATGTGCGCCCCCCTCACGCGCGCCCGCCCTTCTCTCGATGTGCGCCCCCCCACGTATTTTGTATACTCGCACGCGGGCGGGTGCGTGCGTGCGAGTATACAAAATTCTCTACGCGCTCATTCTTTGATAAATTTCAATTAACAATTAAGTAATTATTATTAAGTTTGATTCTTGCGTTTTTGCCTCAAAAGTCGGACGGGCGCTTTCTAATTAATTTCCTCCTTCCTTTTGTTCCCCCCCCCCCTATTAGTCTGATTATATGAAAAAAAGTAATAATAATGATGATAGTAAAACTCACTTGTACGGTCTAACCCAAAGAGGTACTCTTTCCGTTTCCCATATTCTTTGCAAAACCATGAGTAACTGTGATGCCATGAGTTCTTGACGAAGGTCGTCACCGCATTTGACAATGACGGAAAGAAGTTTCCAATTGGAAAGATGACCGTAGGGTGACGATTCTCGCACTCTTCTTTCCTTTTCTTCCCAGGGTTCCTGTACGACGATACAACAAAAATTAACAATTAAAAAAAAAAATCTTCTACTAGAGAAGAGAGAGAGAGAGAGAAATAATGATTTATTTACTTTCAGTGCTGCCGCCGAGGGATCTTCCGGATCCCGCGAAAATGTTTTCTGTCTCGTATCGTGCAAAGATTCTGAAAGTCTTCTCCTGATATCTCCAGCGGCGAACACGGTGGGCGGTTCTCTCGAATCGCTCGATTCCTGCGACATTTGCGATATTGTATCCCGATCCACGGATCTGTTCAACTGTATGTACTGCTGTGATATTTCATCGTCTTCCTGAGACCAACAAATGTCGTCATCTTCGCGGTTCGCGGGTTGCGTGGATGGAAAAGAAGAAGAGGGTTCGTTGATTAGATTTTCTTCGGATTTGATGTGTCTCAAAGCGTTCATCATTTTCGGAGGCACGGGAGAGTCGTAGATATCATCGACTTGCAACACTTCCACGTATATTATGTAGGGAGCCCGATCTTTCGAATTGAGAACGGCGGATGCCTGAGGCGGAATACGAACGACGTGATGAGGGATGTTCGAATGAAGGGGCAACCATACTCTCGCAGGTAGATTGACGTTCACGACGCTGAGCTCTGCCAACAAACGAGTCGTTTTCGCTTCTTTACTCGTCATCGAACCGAGGAGTTTACCAATAGAGATCAACGCTTTTATAAATTCTAATTCGGGTGCGAGTCTTGGTGCCTAAAAAAAAAAAAAAATAAAAATAAAAATAAATAAATAAAAATTTTTAAAAAAATGACGTCATTAATAATTTTTTTTTCTTTCTTTCCTTCTGTCTTCCTTATTTTTGCTTTCACTTGCGCAACGGTTCTAATAATAATAATAATAACAACCAATTTAAAAACAATTAACGATAAACTAATAATTGTATAATCAATGTCGTCCGTCGGCCAAGCTTTTTACTTTTCGAGGTTACTACACACACACACGCACACCCACGCCCACTTACATAATTTCACAGCTGTACATTGTATTAATTATTATTATTATTATTATTATACTAATAAATTAAAATTAAAAGGAAGACGTGGTTTGGACAATTTTTTATATGTATACTTACATTGCATGTGCACTCAGTCTTTTGTCCGCGGAGATTATTCACGATGCCCGTGCAAGAATCAAAACAATTACATCCATTGTCGAAAGCATGACCTGAACCCATGTCACCCAAGCTAACTTTCATGGTTCCTCCTTAAAAAAAAAAAGAAGATAATAATAATAATAATAATTTCTCATATAAAATTATTTTCATTGAATTACATATATATATAATAGACTCACCAAATGTGGTGATTTTTCTATTTCCCTTTATGAGACTAGATGCATCCGATTTTGATCTCTGATGAGTTTTAATGTTTACATTTGATGATGATGATGATAATGATGAAGAAGAAGGACATGTTTGTTTATCATCAGAATTTGAAAATTTGACTTCTACATTTCCTTTCGTCGTCGTCGTTGTTGTTGTTGTTCTCCTCGAGTTTACGTGATGGCATACGTCTCCATCTTTCGGCCTTAACTGATCGGATAATATCAAATTTCTTAGTTTCGTACCGTTAGATTTTTTTTTCGACGGAACTTGGGCATCCGAACTATAGGCGTCGAGTAACCATGCACACTTGAGAGAAAAATCCGCGGATTGACGACACCTGTGGACTAGATATGGATGTATTACCTCCGCGACATCCGGCATTTGCAAATACATGCATACCAACTGTGGTAAATAAAAATCGACTTCGACGTTTGGAAAATCGAATAATTTATTCGCTATGAAACTTTGAACGCCGGGTTCTTTCGAATTTGATAAATATATTATAGCCATGGACATGTCGAAAGACTCGCACTCGAATAGTCTAAGTAAAAAACTTTTACCCTCAGAAACGCGAACGGTGTTTTCCGCGGGGGTGAGAGAAACATCGTCGTCACTCGTTGTTTTATTCTGATGGTCACCGAATGTTTTATTATCGGGGCTCGTGGAATTTTCATCGGGTAGAATTTCAACATCACTTTCACGACGTTCCGAACAACCCGCACTGTTTTCATCAATATTATCTTTTAATTTTGTCATTAATTCACTGTCTTTGTGTAATGATTTCTTAGAAAAAAATGTAATTTTTTTACTCATTAAAATCCTTTTCGTCAATGGAATAGGAATTTCTTCTTTCACTACAAGTCTTGGAGTAACAACAGATTCATCGCTAGTACTGCATGATGCCACATTAGAATTTAAACTTTCCCTACTGTGATCTATGCTTGTTAATTGTTCGACAGATGATTCTCTCGTTGTCGCATCTCCTTCAGAGCTACAAAGTATACCCGAATCATCCGAACCTAAACTAGTCAGATCTTCTCGATTTTTTATAGCATCTCCACTACTCATAGGCATATTCTGTGCTGATGGTTTCGAATCTGAAATGATACAACAACAAAAAATTTGTTATTCCAAACTGATTTTTTTTTTTTTGTAAAAAATTAATCGAATCAATCAAATGTAAAGAAATATGATTTACTTGTGGAGGACGGATATTCACATTCTGGACTAGGAGTTACATCAACTTCTGGTATTCTCTGCAGTGCAGAATCGAGACTCCTATTACGTTGATGCATTGTCGTAATTTGAGCAACTGGAGGGAGTAAAATTCCCATCGATCGAAAATCTAAACTTAAATTTCTCTGATGATTGCTCAGCTTTGATCTGAGACAAACATTTGTGCATGGCCTACCATGTACAGGAGGAACATTTTCACATGATGATGAAGTTTCTTTTTGTTTTTTCCCTTCTATTTGAGGCACCAAATTTGCAACTTCAAACATTTTCCTCTTTTTTTATTTAATTAAATCCTTTTTCTTTCTTTCTCTCACTCTCTCTCGATAAATCAGCTATGTAGCATAATTAGTTTGATCATTTTGGACATAATATATGATTATCTCACAGCTGGAAAAGAAAAAAACACATAATTAAACAAAAAATACAAGAACACTTTTAAAATTTACACACACACGCTTATATATTCGAATATAAAACAAACATTACTATTGAAATACATATTCGTATAACTGAAAATGAAAGAAAAATGTCATCGATATAATTCAGCAATTGAAAACTCTTTACTCGACAAAACTAACAAAATAAATGAAGAGAAAAAGAAAACCACACAAACACAAACACAAAATATTATTTTACAAATAAAAAGAAATGAATCAAAATTTTAAGAAATTATAGTTGAGTCATTATTTGACTGGGTCTAGGTTGGCATTTTTTTTTCGAATAAACTTGCAATGACCCTTGTATTCAAAATTATTTATTTTTTCATTTATATTAATTGTTAAATATTATCAAAAGAAAAAAGAAAAAAAACTTATTTTTATAGACGAGCTTATTGGTACTAAAAAACATTTCAAAAAATCGGACTTTGCCCATTTTATACAAACACTTTCTATTATATGTATATATAAAAATGGCCTGATTTTCTATATAAAAAAACTGCGAAATAATTTTTTTTTTGACGTTTTTTGTTTTTTTGCCTTTATAATTCGTATCAAAATTTATATTATCACGGTTTAATTTACTTTCGATACGATGTGTGGAAAAAAAAAATTAAACCAAAAACCGTTTTAGGTTTTAATTCAAATTTTGATTTACTCACCGCAACAACTTAATTTAAATTTAAAAAAAATAAAATATTTTAAATAAAAATAAAAAAATTTTAAAAAACGAAATCACTAATAAAAAAAAAAAAGAAAATATTAAAAAAATAATAAGAATAATATCAAAACGAAAATTACCCTAAAATTGAGGAAATTGTGCCAGACATTCAAGGCAGCCATTATTACAACTACTACCAACATGAAAAAAAATTAAAAATGTCACCCGTAAACAAAATTTACGGAATGATAAAAATAAAATTTTTAAAAAAAAAAAAAGTGAAACGATATTCAAAAATAATATAAAATTTTTTAAAACGATTAATTTTTCGTTATACGATATATATGGACGATAAAGAATTAATAATAATTTGACGATATTTTTTTTTATTTTTTTTTTTAATATAAAATTAAGTTGGCACGACTTAATTGTTTGGGTGGGGAAGGTCATTTGCACTTAGTGACAATAAAATAAAATTTCAACTATTAAATTACTTAACGATTTAACCTTCGTTTTTATAAATTTTTATCCGATATAATTATTTAATATTAATATTAAATAAATAAATAAATTAATTAATTAATAAATAAATAAATTATTAAAATTATTGAAAACAATTACAACATGTGTGTTAGATATATACACACGCACAAATTAATGGCGGGTTGATGGAATTCCATTATTATTATTATTATTATCATTAATTATTTCCCTGTTAGAAAGTTAATAAAGATTGAATTGATTGATTGAAAAATCAATTTTCCTTTTCTATTAAAATTAATTTTAAATAAGAAAAAAATTTATCGTAATTATAAAAGAAAGTTTTTTAACAACAATAGGGAAATTTTAATAATAATAATGATAATAATGAAAAGGTAGAAAATCGCTTGCGCGTCGTATCGATCTCGTAATTTTTTTTTTCATTTCTGACGGTTTAATTTAATGTAAATCGGGGGGAGTAATATAGTGTAACCACCATATGTCAGAGAATAATATTATTAATTATATAATGGCGGAAATAAATTAAATAAGTTTTTAAATCGCGAGTTGGGGTAGTAAAGAGGGTAAAAAATGTCAAAAGACGATGGGGCGACATTAGGTTATTCATATCATTTACCATCTCGTGGTATTAATTTAAAGCTAAGAAATGCATTGTCACAGTTCAGTGATTTGTTCAGTGAATTTAATAAATACATAGCACCCGCATATCACCACGATCGTTGCGAAAGATCCGTACAAATGAGAATATATGGAATGCATAAAAGAGAATTCGTACTCGTTTTCCTCGCCATATTTGCTTTATTTGGTTTATCAACGTTTATCGGTTTGGCCGGACCCCCGATAACCCTGACAACCCAAGAGAAAGCATCCAATTTATTGAGAAAATCAAACGATACGGATATATCGAGGGGACCCTTCGTTATGAGGAGTCCAATGATGAACACTTATAATCAACAACTTTGGATAATAGGAAAAATTATAACTGATAATGTCGAAGGTAGGAAAATATATATTTTTTTCTCTCTCTCTCATAATTCTTATCAACAACAACTACAACTCGTTTGTCGTTTGTCGTTTGTCAATCTTTATTTTAAATAAAAAAAATCGTTCGTGCCATTTTCCATATGAAACTTTTTTTTTTTTTTTTTTTTTCTATAACTTTCTGAATGAACTCCTCTAAGGCAAACGATACTAATGATAATGATGATGATATTTTGTAATAGAAAATATGATAAAAAAAATTTATTTTCTGTCATATTAAACGATAACTGATTAGAATAAACTTTGGTCCTTACGGTGTCAAATAAGGTTCAAATTTTATTTGTTTTTAAATTTTTTTTAAATTTTTTTTTGCAATGAAATATAAAACGCCATCATTCTCTCTCTCACTCTCTCATAAATTTGAACTTTGAAATTTTGTCCTATTATTAATAATAACGATTATTATTATTTTTCATAGAGTAAATAAACGATATGATTCCCCCCCCCTCCCCGCCATTTTTAAATAAATGTAAAAATTTAATATGAGTGTGTATCTCTATAGAAATTTATTTTAAGAGTAATTTTCTAATTACGGCGCCATTTTTGTTTTTTTTTTTGGAAAGTATTTCTTTGAATTTATTTAAAATGTTTTCTCTTTTATAAGAAAAGAATTTTAACATATATTAATATATATTATATAAAACAATTTTAACAATAATTAAATTTAGAAAAAGATTCGAATTTTTTAAATCGTTTAAAAGGATTTATTATTTGATGATGACGTCATTAAAAAAAACCGTTGAATAATAATTTTTACCGCCCGGGTAGTCGTTTTTTTTAAAAAGGTTTCTGAACGTACTTTTTTGTTCGTTTTATAAAAGTTTTACAATTTTTTTAATTTTTTTTTTTTTATTGTGGCAACACTGACGAATTATTTTAAACCCTATAAAAATCTCTTTAGGGCTTTAAATGTTTAACGAAGAATCTTTTGACTTTTTAAATAATGTTTCTCCCCTCCCCCCCCCCGATTTTGATTTTTTTTTAAAATCATTTGCATTTGACGTAATGATTGTGTCAAAGGTCAACATTTGCAATAATAATTAATTACTAAAGGGAAACAAAATAAATTTTATTGAATTTATTTTCATTAAAATTTCATTCTTGAATTCGAATCGGGGACATCAATGTTAAACGTTATTGTTAAAATCTATTAAATTTTATGTATATTTATACAGTATGATGATGGTTGTTGTGTTTGTTGTTTGTTACCACTTCCTTTCAAAGTAAAAAAAGAAAAAGTTATTTATAAATTTAACAGTTTATACATCTTTTGTATTGAAAACAAAATTTATTATTTTTTCCCTACCATTTTGTTATTTTATTTTTATAAATTCTTTCCAAAAAATTTCTATTTTCAGTTATCATATTAATAATGATGATTTTTTTGTTGAAAAAAAAAAATTTGATTGAATAGAAAGATAGTTTATAAACCTTAAAATTTAAGGTTCTTCTTCTTCTTCTTCGCAAAATTTTTTTGGCAAACGAAATGACATTTTATGTTGTCACGAGGATCAGGTTTAAATCGTTTGCCAAAATTGATTTTTTTTTTTTTTATTAAAAAAAAGAAATTTTGAAATATGTTAACGAGTTGACAAATTTCAGGTTCGTTAATACCTTAACATGACTTTTACGTCTTTATAACAAGTTTTATATGGAATCTCTCTCTCCCTCGCTCTCTCTCTCTCTCTCTCTCTCTCTCTCTCTCTCTCTCTCCCTTGCTCTCTCTCTCTCTCTCTCTGCCTCTCCTTGATTCCAAAACCATCAGAATTTCCTTATTTAAAAAAATTCCTTAAAAAATATTTGTTTCAAAAAGGTTTTTTGATTTTTTTTTTTTTTTTTTGCACTTTGGCAACTTGTTTCGATACCATTTTTTTTTTTTTTCAAATTTGGTAACGGATCAATTGAAAACAAACGTAAATGTCAAGTAACGTATCTTAAAATAACTCCTTTGCAATAAATAAATAAACTCACGGTTATCAAAAGTATTTTAAAATGACTTGATTAAACATATGTTAAGGTTTGTTCAAGTGGTTTTATTTACAAAAAAAAAAGAACTAATACGTATACAAAAAGGAATTCAACGATCGATGACGTAGACGACGACGACGACGACGACGACGACGACGACGACGACGAGGAGGAGAACAACCGTTGAAAATTACCGCATCGAAAAACAAACGTTGTAAAAAATCATCAGGTAAACATAATAATCGAATAATATTTTCAATTTACTCGAAAAACATCATCATCATCATCGTCGTCGTCGTCGTCATCGGATTCGAGTATTACACAAACGCAACGTTTTTTTTTTTTTTTTTAAATTTCACAACGAAATATTTTACCTTGAAATCCGCCATGTAACCAATAAGAATTCATAACCGACTGAGTAACTGAAATCCTTGTACAATTAAATCCGAAATAATTATTTGGCACTAAATCCGGTTTTTTTATTTATTTATTTGCAAATTTAAATATTTATTTCATTCATTCATTCATTATTATTATTATTATTATTATTACGTTACGTCACGATCGAAAGGTTTACATTTGATTCAATAATTAAAAAAAACAAATACGTCGCGAAAGATAAGAATCGTAACGTTTGATTATGACGTCACAAAATCAAAATTTCAAAATTATGGGGTTGGCTGCTCTGTTTTTGTTTTGTTTCATCTTTCCGCCATTTTTGCACGAAATGCATAGGTGAACGAACTTAACGTTTTTTTTTTTTTTTTTTTTTTTTTACAAAAAAATAATTATTATTATCGATTGACAACTGATGCATTGTTCTGGAGAAAACAAACAAACAAACAAACAAACGAACAAACGAAGAGAGATTCAACGATCGACGTAAAAAACCGGTAAATAAAAAAAAACTCATTTATTTAAAATATCATTACCATTATTATTATTATTATTATAATTATTATTATTATTTTTTCCAATGTGGCGTTAAAACGTGATTTTCAAACGAATAAAAAAAAAAAAAAAAAAAAAAAAACGTGATAAACGTTTAATTTAATTGAAAAAGAGAGTGAGTGAGTGAGAGAGAGAGAG